AACCTTCCCCTTCTAAATTTTGATTATGAAAATAATTCAAATGCATAGAAAAATTCTTAACTTGTTTAATACAGAAAATGATTAAATTGTGTACCTGTTTTATGTACCCAATGACTACTTAATAAATGATTATAAAAGAAATGAGAACCTTACCCTTTTAAATTTTGATTACCACAATAATTCAAATACATAGAATCCTCCATTTTTCCAATTCAGAAGATGATTATGTACCAATGACTACTTTAATGATTATATATAACAGAAATGAAAATATGAATATATACCTACGTAATCAATCGATATTAATTTTCCTTTTACCCAATTATTTCTCTATGACAAAATATATTATTTAAGTATTCGGTATTCGGCCGAATAATATGTAGGTATTCGGTATTCGGCCGAATATAATAAAAGCAGCCGAATAGGCCGAATACCGAATAGTAACCGAATATTCGTTGTGTCTAGTAATAATATATTTTTCTTTAAACTCATAGCTTTTGAGATATTTATGAAAAACCGCTTAAAACATGAATTATTTGACGCAAAATCACAATCTTTGATCATTATTAACTCAGAAAGTATTGATTTATTTCGAAAACTTAATATAACAACTTTTGCTTAGAATTTGTCTTTCTATCGATTCCTGGAGTTATTTTTATTAAAATAATTTTTACCCCCGAGAAGGGGTGGTATCTACCCCTAGGGAAAAAGCGCAAGTTGGCACTATGTCACTTTTGTTTCATATGGTATCCCCCACCTCATCACCATTTTTCATGAAAATCGATGGAGGTTCATCGAAATCGGAGGTTATAGCTGATTTTTGCCTTCATTGACTGTACTATTATGAAAACAAAGATTGAACTATATTTCCTTGATACTGTTACATGTGTTGTGTACTAACTCATTTAGATGTGATTTTATGGTAATTTAATGTCTGACTGACATGGAACCTACTCTTAAAGTGCCAACAATTAGGACGTTTACCCTATAGTGTAATGTTTTCTTGTCTTATAACTATTAATTTTATTCAAAATGATTAAATGAAATTGGAACGATATAGCCCACGGTTGTACTGATACAATCGTCATTGTTTAAAATTAGTTTTATTTGTTGATTTATTTATTGTCTCTAGTACGATTTGATTTGGCGGGCTATCTGAAAAACGTTTTTTTTTTGTCTGACAGCTTCAAATTTGAATATTTTCAAATAATACTTTGGAACAATGTTCGGATCAACTAGAACAACTTGGAATAACTAAAAAAATATTGAATTTCAAAACATGGGGGGCTACCATAAAAACGTTTTTTTTTGTCTGGCAGCTTCAAATTTGAATATTTTCAAATAATACTTTGGAACAATGTTTGTAACAACTAGAACAACTTGGAACAACTAAAAAAATAACGAATTTCCAAACATGGGGGGCTATCTCAAAAACGGTTTTTTTTGCCTGACAGCTTCAAATTTGAGTTTTTTCAAATAATACTTTGGAACAATGTTAGGATCAACTAGAACAACTCGGAACAACTAAAAAAGTATTGAATTTCAAAACATGGGGGCTACCATAAAAACGTTTTTTTGTCTGGCAGCTTCAAATTTGAATATTTTCAAATAATACTTTGGAACAATGTTAGGAACAACTAGAACAACTTGGAACAACTTTAAAAATAACGAATTTCCAAACATGGGGGGCTATCTCAAAAACTGTTTTTTTTGCCTGGCAGCTTCAAATTTGAGTTTTTTCAAATAATACTTTGGAACAATGTTAGGATCAACTAGAACAACTCGGAACAACTAAAAAAGTATTGAATTTCAAAACATGGGGGGCTACCATAAAAACGTTTTTTTTGTCTGGCAGCTTCAAATTTGAATATTTTCAAATAATACTTTGGAACAATGTTTGGAACAACTAGAACATCTTGGAACAACTAAAAAAATAACGAATTTCCAAACATGGGGGCTACCATAAAAACGTTTTTTTTGTCTGGCAGCTTCAAATTTGAATATTTTCAAATAATACTTTGGAACAATGTTAGGAACAACTAGAACAACTTGGAACAACTTTAAAAATAACGAATTTCCAAACATGGGGGCTATCTCAAAAACGGTTTTTTTGCCTGACAGCTTCAAATTTGAGTTTTTTCAAATAATACTTTGGAACAATGTTAGGATCAACTAGAACAACTCTGAACAACTAAAAAAGTATTGAATTTCAAAACATGGGGGGCTACCATAAAAACGTTTTTTTTGTCTGGCAGCTTCAAATTTGAATATTTTCAAATAATACTTTGGAACAATGTTTGGAACAACTAGAACAACTTGGAACAACTAAATAAATATTGAATTTCCAAACATGGGGGGCTACCATAAAAACGTTTTTTTTTTGTCTGGCAGCTTCAAATTTGAATATTTTCAAATAATACTTTGGAACAATGTTCGGATCAACTAGAACAACTTGGAATAACTAAAAAAATATTGAATTTCCAAACATGGGGGGCTACCATAAAAACGTTTTTTTTTTGCCTGGCAGCTTCAAATTTGAGTTTTTTCAAATAATACTTTGGAACAATGTTAGGATCAACTAGAACAACTCGGAACAACTAAAAAAGTATTAAATTTCAAAACATGGGGGGCTACCATAAAAACGTTTTTTTTGTCTGGCAGCTTCAAATTTGAATATTTTCAAATAATACTTTGGAACAATGTTTGGAACAACTAGAACATCTTGTTACAACTAAAAAAATATTGAATTTCCAAACATGGGGGGGCTACCATAAAAACGTTTTTTTTTGTCTGGCAGCTTCAAATTTTAATATTTTCAAATAATACTTTGGAACAATGTTAGGAACAACTAGAACAACTTGGAACAACTTTAAAAATAACGAATTTCCAAACATGGGTGGCTATCTCAAAAACGGTTTTTTTGCCTGACAGCTTCAAATTTGAGTTTTTTCAAATAATACTTTGGAACAATGTCAGGATCAACTAGAACAACTCTGAACAACTAAAAAAGTATTGAATTTCAAAACATGGGGGGCTACCATAAAAACGTTTTTTTTGTCTGGCAGCTTCAAATTTGAATATTTTCAAATAATACTTTGGAACAATGTTAGGAACAACTAGAACAACTTGGAACAACTTTAAAAATAACGAATTTCCAAACATGGGGGGCTATCTCAAAAACGGTTTTTTTTGCCTGACAGCTTCAAATTTGAGTTTTTTCAAATAATACTTTGGAACAATGTTAGGATCAACTAGAACAACTCTGAACAACTAAAAAAATATTGAATTTCCAAACATGGGGGGCTACCATAAAAACGTTTTTTTTTGTCTGGCAGCTTCAAATTTGAATATTTTCAAATAATATTTTGGAACAATGTTCGGATCAACTAGAACAACTTGGAATAACTAAAAAAATATTGAATTTCCAAACATGGGGGCCTACCATAGAAAAACGGTATTTCTTGTCTGGCAGCTTCAAATTTCAGTTTTTTCAAATAATACTTTGGAACAATGTAGAACAAATATAGAACAACCCAGAACAACCTAGATAATAATAAAATTCAAAAAGTGGGGGGCTAACCTCACAGAGGTACCAAATAATGTAAATATTGCATCGAGTGCGCGAATTCAAGTAATGTCTTTCATGTACCTGAATACAGTTTAACGACCAAACGTAAATGCGTCTTGAAAGAAAAAATCTCTGTAGTCTGTGGTTTCGCCAGCCAACCCTGGCTAAACCTACGCCCTGGTGCAACAAATGTCAAAGTTGACATTAGCTTCATACATTTTATGTCAAAATTGAAACGTAACGTCACGTCGGAGTAAAAAAAAGATATTTTTTTTTTGTTGAAGTTCTCCCGTTTTCGGGAAGGCAAAGGGAACAATGCCCATACAGCCTGATCTTGAATTAAATTAATCTTCTTTTTGTTTTTACATAAGAATGTCGGTGTGACGCATTTTAATGTTTCTTGGAGTGTTTGGCACGAAATGTATCGAGTTGGCTTTTTCGATAAGCTTCTGTGAGGTAATCAACACTACAATAAAATTTCACGTCCACTTGACCGGAATAGCGTATATTTTAACGATTCCACTAATTCTTCAGTTACGCAGACGGTTGTTACACAAAACCACACCAATTTTATTTCACAATGGTGTCGATTCTGGCGTGATTCTCTAAACTTAAAACTAAATTTAACATCAATCTCTCCTTTTCATTCCGTATAGAGAATGACAAGGATACACCGTTGTCAAATTTAAGTTTAGGTTTAGAGAATCGTGTCAGAATTGACACCAATATCCACTATGAACTAATTTAAGAATAATTAAAATAAGACGCCAACCGCACTCGATGTAATCCCGCCAAAACCCCCCCCCAAAAAAAAACCCCCAAAAAGATACACTTAGAGCCAGTGTTTCCACAATGAGGGGAAATTCCCCTTTTAAGGGGAAATTAGGGTCCAGAGCGGAAGAAAAAGGGGAAAGACATGAAAAGAAATTGCGGGAAATTATGGGTAAAGCATAGCCTAAAATAATGCGGCACGGAACAAATTTTTTATGGACTATAACGTGGACTAGAGTTTTGCCGTATAAAAGAAACTGTCGCAACACGTGCAGATTTTATATATTTTATTTATCTGTTATAGAATAAGATAGTATAAGACCTTTTTTTAGTTACTACACTAGTGCTAAATCTAAAAACTACAGCAGAATAATTTTTGAGGGGAAAGATGTCCTAGGAAGGGGAAATCTGAATTGAGGCGTGGGGAAAGGAAATCTTTATAGTGGAAACACTGCTTACAGCGGATATAATAAGGTACTCTGTGACATAGAGCTTATGTTTTGGAACGCTCTGGCTAGATTATATTTAATCAAATGTTTTGATTTAAATTTGTTTTTCTAATTTCCTGTGGCGGCTTAAAAAATATAATTTAGCGGCTTTGAAACAAAGCTACTGCTCACAAAAGAACTTGCCTGGTGCTGTGGCCCAGCAAATAAATAAGATGTGGACCTTTTTAGCAAAGAACAAAAATGATGTAATTTATTTATTTCTTCTATTGTTTAGTGTAGCAATAGGACCATTCTATAGATCAATTAAACTGACAAATACAAAGAAATGGGCTGGTACTCTTATTGGCATTATAATAATCTTCATCGTATCTGGTTATAGTGCATTCCATCCAATATTTTCAGCATCTCTTGGAGTGATATTAATTAAGTTATCAACTGTGAGGTAATCAGTGATTTTTACAAGTTTTGATTCAAAGCAATGCATCAATAACTCAGAATTTTATTTAGCTGTCTTGACACTTGACTGCAATATATCAAACAAACTGGCTATTCATTTAAATCATTATTTATTCCAGATACTGCCACACAGTAACATTTTTTTTCATGTTTGCCTATCTATTCTTCTTCCGTTTGGCAGATAAATTTGGTTTACCCCTTTCATCGGGTCAGACAAATCTCATACAAATGATAATAGTACTTAGAGTTGTTGGAGTAGCATTTGAAATAAATGGATCTTGGAAAATAGTTGGAAAGAAAAAGAATGAAAATACTGTTGATGCTAAAAATGAGAAAGACAATGACTTTGTCGAGGTAATTAATCCAAGTTTGGAAGATCTATTCCATTACTCATTTAACTACATTGGTCTACTTACAGGTAAGAAAACTCACTTAATTATTTTTGTTTATGAGACCATTAATGCTAATGTATGTTATGTCATAAAGGAACTAAACTTAAAGTAGGTAAATATTAAAGATGCACCGAAAGTAGGTTAAACCGAATACATATATATGTTCTGCTGAATATTTGGGCCAAAATGTACCAAACCAAATATTCAGCCGATTCATTCGGTTCAACTTTACCAGGTTTGTGAACGTCATCATTCATTGTTGATTTCACAGAATTTTATTTTGATTAACATTTACATAAATAACTCAATTGGATTAAAACTACAAATAGTTATGGCAAATTCCTAGTTTTGATGTTACAAATTTAATATTTACATAAGGTAAGGTATTAGCACCAAGTGAGGAGCCACTATTCCATTTTTTTTTATTCTGTCCAAACTATAAAAGTGTATTAATAAAAGACTACCACACAATGCTAACCACAAACTATAAACCTCACTAAGGTTGAAAATCATTTTTGGGGAAAAAAATATAAATTTCCAAATGAATGAAGACCAGAGGGGCTGAGCAGCCCAAGTGTCTAATTTCTTTTTGTTGGTTGAAATGTCTTTTCTGATTTTGCAGGTCCTTACTACAGATATAGAACATTTGATGATTACTTCCATTTGCCCTTCAGCAAGTATGTTGATTATTCTGGGTTCACCATTAATACACTGAAAATGGTACCATTGTATATTTCATTGTATTTGGCACTGTCCAATCTCTGGCCTTTGGAGGTAAGTACAAGAAAAATACATATACATGCACATTGTAAGTGGTGGTCCATGGCATGACAGAAATTTTGAGAAATGGTCCCTCATCAGTAAAAGGTTAAGAACCATTGCCCTAAATTCACCTTTTGTGGGTATAAACAAACAGGTTCTATGATCTGAAAATAGGAAAATATAGAAAAGAAAAAATAGTGTTTAAATTTTTTTTTCTGTAAGTGTTCCTAAGTCATGGCTATGTATGTTTATGTAGTAAAATAAATTTACCAATATCTATGTATCATTACAATACTTGTCTCTCCATTACTCTAGTCCTAACTTATATTATAAATGTGAATGTTTGTCTATCTGTTATCTTTCATGCTCAAGCTGCTGAACCAATTTAAATGAAATTTGGTAAACAGACAGTTAAGTCCCAGGGAAATGCCTTTTTCTTCTTTCTCTTAGAAATCATCCTCTAAGGCTGAAAAGGGTTGTAGAAGTTTGTATACATTACTCCACACAAACTTGCAGACGCTAGATAGTACACCATAACACAAACCTTAAATGTTTACTGATTGGTATGAGTGTAAGAAATATTTATTTATTTATTTAATGATCTTTCAGTACATTTTAACAGAGAATCACAACAATAGGAGTTTTCTATATAGAATGATGTATCCTTGGGCGCTGTTTGCACAATTCCGTCAACGCATTTATTCTGGTATGACCTTGGCTGAGTGTGTGTGTACTGCTGTTGGTTTAGGTGCATATCCTGTAGAAGGGCGCAATAGAACGGGGCACGGGCCCACAGTTGGCTACTTAAAATTAAAACAGATGTAAGTATTTTAACTGATTATACCATTATATCTCAGAGTTGTCACTTAGTCCAAATAAATTTGTGTAAATGATATCTTCCTTGAAATAAAAAATAACTTAAGTCAACATTCCTGTCTTAAATGACTGTATCATTTTTTTTATCATAAATGCCAGTTATGCTGATTAACTTAAACTGTATTCATTATTAAAATAAATATTAATAAAGAAAGTGAGGAATTCACATTTTTATATTTATGAACTTTTCACTTTTTATCATATTTTTATGTAAGCATTAAATTGTTTGATTTTCGAATTTCACTTTCATAATTTCATGGTAAAATTTCTGTATTTGTATTACCAGGTCTGAAGAAGAAGCTAAAAAAGTCCAATACGACTTTAATACAATAGAATCAATGGATGTGTGGGGATGTGAAACTGTGGCCACTCTTCGTGACTCCATGAAGGTTTGGAATAAAGCAGTGCAATACTGGGTTGCAATGGTTGTTTACAAGAGATTCCCTATAAAACCATTGAAGTGAGTTTTTATGCCAACATTTTTATAGTTAGTAGAAATAAATAAATTGGAACTAGGTATATGAGACAAGGTGCTATACTTTTTAATGAGTAATGTGCCGACCTCTTATGACATTCACAAATAACGTGGCTTTCTATTGGTAAAAGAATTTCCAAAATCGGTTCAGTGAATTCACAGATTACCCTCTACTACCTTGCAAACTTTACTTCCTTTTTTTTCCATATTAGTTAGTATAAATTGACTGAGTGTTTCAGCGACTTCCGCATTCATTAGTACCCACTAATTCGCACTGGGACCGCGTGGTGGGTAAGGGCATGTCAATCTTTTACCTCTATAGGGAAATTCCGTGTCCCATGCTCCGTTTATATTCCAAAACGTGGACTAGTTAGCCGTGGATTAGACCTTATGCTGTTACTCTCTTCTTTTAGCAAACAAAAGTGACAGCATAAATTTTAGGTTTAACTTTAGTCAATGCTTTGTAATAAGGCGGTTACAGTTGGATTTTAAGCATTCAGTTTTAACTATACTTTATAATATACAACAAAATCAACTATAAAAAAATAATATACTGTGACGTATTTGCATAACAAATCTATTCTTGACTTTTGCACCTACAATTTGTTCCAATATATTACACAATAGTTCATGCATATTTATTTAACTTGTTTTCGTGCCCTCTTCTAATAATTTAATTGTTCTTTCAGAGTTCACGCTGCGTTGTTTGTATCTGTGATATGGCATGGTATCCATGCTGGTTATTTCTTCTGCATTTACTTCTGTCCATTCTATTTGATGGCTGAAGACATATACTACAAGCTTTATTATAAGAATGCTACGGGAATGGTAAGCAAGCTAGAAATTGTGAACATGTTCCGTCAGTTCAAAAAGCAGTAATAGTACTAATACTCAATATTATGTTAAATACGAGAAAAAGTTATAAGTTCTTATTACTTCTTTTTACATGTTCCTCTTTTTAAATAACTGTTCTAGTGATCTTTATAGCGATAATAATTGGTACACCCAACAGTTCGTATACTCGACTGCCGAATTAAATAGAGGCTTTTATACACCTGGCATTAAAATTTTATAAATACTTCTCAGTGGTTGTATCCGGCTCGACGGACCATTTTGAACGGCTGCAATTGTAGTTTAATAAATTCACTAATTATGCACAAAGAAATTAAAGGCATTAATTGAAAAACGAGCGTGCTACGAGACTGAAATTTTCCTGGTTCAATCTGAGAAAAACGACCCTACTTAATTTTTCTGATAAAAAAACAAGTGCTTCAGCTACTGATTTGAACGATCTTTGTCCTTTAAATTAAGAAATCCAATTTAAAAAATGATACCACATTGTTATCCATTGCGACGAAGAGGTTTCGTTTATGTAATTTTGTTTTTAATTTACGATTTTAACATTGCATTTTCTTTTCAGAAAAAGAAAATAATGAGCATCGTCATGTGGTTCCTGAGATCACATTCGGAATCTTACCAAGCAGCTGCATTCCTCCTCTTGACATTCGACCGCATTTGGATATATTACACATCAATGTACCATTATTGGTACGGAGTCTGGCTAGCCTTCTTAATATTGGGACTGGTATTGAATCAATTAAACAAGACTAGTCGTTCTAAAAAGTCTGTTGAAGAAGCCTCCTCGAAGAAAATCGAATAAAATTTGGAATAGCAGTAAATATTATTAGTGAAATGCATGAAACTTTTAGAAAAGGCAGACAAAAAATATACTTCATTAAAAAACTGCCTTATTTCTAAAGTTGGTAGGCAATAATTTTAATCTGTAGGAGGTGCACGACATGACTTTAAAATGATATACCATAATCAATATGATTATTTATTTTTAGAGCAATTTTATTCACTCAATCATGTTTTTTTTGAGGACATTAATATTAATAATATACCACCTTCATAAGAGCGATTCATTTTATTTGGTGTAAGACTTATTGAAATGTTCAAAGTTTGTAGAAGCAGTTATTAGTTAGTCCTTTGTAATTGGATTATTGGTTTTATAAATTAGACCTGTAGACTGAGATTATGCTCAATCAGATGATTATTATTTATCGTTAGGCTCATTGTTAAGTATAGTGTAAATTTTCGAGTTTCTATTACAGGTTTTGCGGTCACACTCAGAGGCATCAATTAAATTTTAAATATGATGCTGTCCCTTTCTTTACGCTAGCAAAAGAACAAGACAAAACATTAAATTGACACTCATTACATTTAATTGACGTCTCGTGAGCGTTTAGATAATTTTTAAGAGATAACGTTTACATAAACAACTTTTCATAAAAATCAGAGATATAAACAACCTCATACCCCTAAAAGACTTCCTTTACTTTTTCTAAAGACTTAGTTCACATTTCTCAAGTATTATGTTGAGATTTTATTTATCACTTTGCCCAAGAAAGGATGATATAAAAAATATTGAATACATATTTTTTTACTGCTCACATTTTAATGATTTTTTTATATGGTGTTGATGAAAGATGTTTATTTATTTCATAACGAGGTGAAAATTTTATATTAATAATTGTATAATATTAATCAAAATCATTATAGGAGATGTACCGAATTTGTATGAAGGTTTGGTAGACGGCCCAAGACAAAAGTTATATGAGAGTTTATTTTTTAGAATATCAAGGGACAAAAAATACACCGCATTTTAACAAAATATTTGTTTGGCTTAATCATTTTTGTAACAAGGCATGGGTTCGATCTGGTTCAGACGACGACTATTTTTTTTGTAAAAGAATAATATATAATAACACTCATGCTGGTTTGATCTTGTTTCTGACTTATTTATAAGGACGTATCTTTTAAATATAATATGTATATTTAAATTTTTATTAATAACATTATATAATCAGAAAATATTGAATTTAAAGGTTAAATTTCTTGCATCAACTTTTTAATATTTTTGAATGTCGCGGGGATTATTTTAAAAAATAATAAAAAAAGTCTATTGAAGATCCTCGAGGCATGAGCTTTAATATATAATGTATCGTAGGGGTTTTCAATTAGCCTAGCCAAGCCCCCAATGCATGTTACATAATATGCATATGCGTTTTTGATAAGATTATTAGAAATTATTACTACTAAGTAGTTAAAAGTAAAAGAATTGGCTTAGTTTGTGATTGAAACTTACACGTGTTAATATGGCCACAAAAAATCTATATGTTTGTTCTTTTCTATACTTGTGTGTGTTTATGCATACTACTTGCAGTCAATATGCTTTTTAGGGTTCCGTTACCCAAATGATGATAGACGACGGAACCCCACTAAGTTCGTATGTTAGTCTCCTCTGTCTGTCTGTATATCAGTGGTTTATATTTTATCTTATCGATGATTTTTGCTCAACCTAGTATTAAATGTATAATCCTCGCAAATCGATAATGCGCGGGATCTAAATAGGCGAGATTGCATGTTTCATTATATATTGTTCTTAGAATTCAAATATTAAAAGACAAGATATTTTATGAAACATTAAATGTGTAATTTTACAGATTTGCCTAAGAATGTGAAAGTCGCCAAGTCGCCACTTAAAAGTTTAAAAATGCAATAATGACGAATTGAACAATTTAATAATGTAACCCATTTTAGAGGGTTTATCCGATATCGCCTTTTTAGACCCCCCTTGTCTTTATTACATCTGCTTAAAGTTATCTTTAACTAAAAAGAAATGTATTGTTAAGGGTACTGAGTGTTAATAAATAACGCGATATAAAACTGTCAAAAACGGTGGCAAGACGCATTAGCAATTTGCGGGAATTTGATATAGTAGCGAGTCTGACTCGTACTTGGCGTATAATTGATGTATTGTTTAATTAGTCTTTTTAAAATTTCATTAAATCTTAAAATGTTTATTCATGTTTTAATAGACTTCAATTATTTAAGGATATAAATCATATTGATGTGAGGGTAGATTTATAAACATCATTTATGTTAAAAACAAAATTTAATGTTCTTCTTTACATTCCTTTGTAACAATTAATTTTATTTTAACAGTAATAACAATTTCACAGGTAAATTGTTGGGTTTCTAGTCTGCGTTTAATAACTGTTCTTATATAAAAGTTTTTAAATAAAGAATTGGTTTGTTTTAATCTTCTTAACCACGAGTGAGCGTATAACTAATATAAATAATCTCAATTCTGTACTGTGTGTTGAATATATCGGCGAATCAGGTATGTCAACATCACTGTCATACTGAAATGAAAATGCAACAGTGGAATGTTAATGGCACAATATTAGATAAATATATGTATATTAATAATTTGAGAATTCATTTTGAGTACATCTTTTAAATTAAATCTAATACAATTATATGGCAAATTAAAATAAAGGTGCACTTAAAGCTAAATAGTATTAAATACAAAAATGGTGAGAATTTGTTGGTAGGATTGTCAATGTTAGCCTCTCAACAGAAAATTAAATAAGCATGTAATGCATTTGTATGAAATCAAAGGGATAGTTGTACAGTAATCCATCACATAGATAAAGCTCATGGCGTAGGTATATACAAAATCAGCATTATTTACAGCAAATTTAAAATACCTCTTGTAAAAGTGGGTATTATAGAGAAAGTAAAAGAATCTCTTTACAAATTCGATACGTGATATATTAAAAGAGATTCTTTTAATTGAGATTAATATGCTGTCTGTAGTAATTTATCAGTAGATTCACATAATAAAGTCGCAAAGAGTATTAAAGTTTTTAATATAAATAATATTCGATGAATATGAGAACACAGTAAGGTTTAAACTTTCATAATGATAATATTTTATTTTACAAGCTGGATTTGTGCAGCTGTTGATTTTTAAATTTAATATGTCAAGATTCAAACACAAGTGTCTTTAGAAAGATTACATTTTTATAAAGATTAAATATGTGATAGGTAGTAGTTAATTTATTTATAATATGCGAGATTCACCAATAATTTTTTTTATTAATCAACCTCTATACTATAAAAGCAATCCTTATCTAACCGTAGGTCATTTTCGAATATTCATTTAAGTACTTTATATTTGTCTAGGAAATGTTACCTTTTCGAAAATCACTTGTATGTTGGAATCAGTTTTTAAAAAAATGTTATGCTGATCACTTAAACATTGTATAACATTTTACAAAGGTAAACGAATCAGCTTCGTGTAACTTATTAGGCGTTTGCAAATAAAATGAATCTGGGATTGTACGCAAGAATACCTTTTCCCCATGTTAGTGCTTTTATAATGCGGCTCGTATTTTCAACCTTTACGCCCAAAACATATAGTTCAAAATGGGACGTAGACGGACTTTAAAACTCTCGCCTTTAGAAAAGCGCTTACTTGTGAGCACCGAAAAGTTTTACGGAAATCTTTCCATTTGTCTATTTGACAATAACCTTATTATTATGGAAAAATAGACTTTATTAATTTAGCAATGTTGTCGTTGCAAACTGGAGCTGTATCATGTATTCTTTTAAAAATGAACTGTTGTATAGTTTCATATTAAGCAATAATCTATAAAATTACATATTATAATAAGCATACAATATTGTAATTTTATAATTTATTGCTTGCTTTTAACGTTAGCGTTCGGTCAAGTAGAGATATTAGAAGATTTGGAAATAAGGCCGGGAAAATGTGCCAGTGCGAACAATCCCCTAAAGAATGAGACTGTTAAGTGTCCCTATCACAAAACCAATTATCAGTATTTTACATAGGGAGTTGTTACAATAACCATTTAATTTTGTTAACATTTTTAGTATCCTCTTGTTATTCTCTAAAATATCCCATGTTTTAATAGATAATCTACAGTTAGAAAAGTATACAGGTAAATATTCATTTTACTGCTCCTTTACAGTAAATTGAAACCTTTTTGTTACTGCCATTGTTAAAATTAGTAAATTGTTAATATCTAGTTACTGTTGGAAGAGGTTAGACCATTTTCATTAAAAGTGGGTTACATTAATAAAAATACTTTGTACAAAATAGCGTGTATAGGTGTTATAGGTCGCGGCAAATTTCTTGAGCAAAATCACAGACAAATAAAATTGCGCAGATTAGACGTATTTGAATGTTAAATTGCTACTGCGCAAGCTTTCTTGTTTATGGTCGATGTTCAAGAAGTTTGCCGGGATGTGTACCAACACAAGTTTACGTGTTAAAGATTTATAAATTGTACTAATTAACTGGGTATTGTTAGAAATAACCATGTTTATGATATTTACCGTACCTTCAATAATAGGTACAACGCGAATAAGACAAAAGAAAGTCTACTTTAAAGAGATATCATTAATATTTTTTTTAACAATATTATTTTGGTAATAACACAGTAAGGGAAGTAGTGATACTTTAAAATTGTGAGTGTTATGTAAAACAAACTTCAAAAAGCGAACTTAACAAAATTCGGTAACTTCTTATGTATAAGCGAAATCAAGAATAGTTAATAACATCGAAGGCACTTTATGAGTAATGGCGCGATTATACATGGTCGTTACCCTGATTACGAGTGTCAATGGAATTCGGGTAAACAACTAAGTGTAAATGAACAGAGTCGAGTACACTCTCTCACATCATCTTCCAGGCCGTATTCCAGTGTAAGTATTGCTTCGGGTGCCCGAATTCGAGCAATGTCTTTCGTTCACCCGAATACGGGCTAACGACCAAAATAAATGTAATTGAGCTACAAGTTTTGTATATTGCATTATGGTCTGAAATAGTGTGAATTGAACTAAATGCATGCAAAGCGAAGAAAGGGGCTAGTTTTGGCTATTTACCCGACATTCCAGCCATAGGATACTGGTTTGTGCGTGGTGGCCGCACCGGGATGCGCATAATTTTTGTTTTGCGTTGGCGTCTGATAGCTCGGCTGACCTGATGGATAATTCTGCGGTTTAGAACTCCTGGAATTGTAATTCGGAGACGCATAGTTAGGATTTTCCTGAATCGGGCGTGAGTTGAATAAATTGTTCAAACCTCCGTTCTTGGTTAGGTCGTTGAGGATGTTGCCGAAGATGTTGGACAGGCCGTTGCTGCCAGGTTGGTTCGTGCCAGTGCTGCCAGTGTGGCCAGTGGATCCTCCTCCGCCATTGTTGGCGTATTTGTTCAGGGTGTTGATGATGCTGTCCAATGGGCCTCCGCCGCCGCCGCTTCCAAAGCTACCACCGGAAGAAGGTCGCGACCCGCCATATGGCGAATTGCCTCCGTAAGGGTTCCGCCCTCCATTTGCAGTTCCTCCGTAAGGTGAATTGCCGCCTCCGTAGGGCGAATTGCCGCCGCCGTAAGGAGAATTATTACCGCCGTACGGAGGATTGCTACCGCCGTACGGAGGATTGCTACCGCCGTACGAAGGATTGTTACCGCCGTACGGAGAGTTGTTTCCCCCGTACGGAGAATTATTTCCCCCGTAGGGAGGATTATTGCCCCCGTATGGGGAGTTATTTCCTCCGTATGGAGATCCGCCCCCTTGTGAATGACCGCCGTAGGGAGAACTACCGCCGTATGGGTTATCGTTGCGAGGCGGCGCAGGTGCAGGATAGCTAGGGGGTGAATCGAAGGTGTTCGATGGCGCATGGGGTTTGGGCGTGGGCAGTGGCACTGATGGCTTAGCTGGCTCAGAATGCCCTGCAATGATAAAACTAGGATTAATTTTCATATAGACTTAATAGAAAAGTATGAATTTGCTAAAGCGCATAGAAAAAGGTAAAAAAAAATTTTTACTGTAAATAGTAAAATATAGTAATGTCAATAGTAGAAATTAGTTTATTATGATTCAGAGATATTTCGATGCACTATGAAAATGCAAAAAAATGGTAATCTACGAAATTTTAAATAAAATATTTTTGCGCATGCTATAGCTAAGTAGTTAATCGTATGCATACAAAACGTATTATAATAATAAGCTTTTTAAGTCATGCTTTGGCCAATTGTTTTACCTTCAGTACCTGATATTCAACCAATTTAATAACCTCGTGAGATCTTTAAAAAATAATGTTACGGTTTATATTAAATAAATACATATAGTACTAATTATAATTAATTATGGTTTAAGTTCCGTTCATGTTGTAAGAAATTTTTAATTGCAAAGATGGTCCGGCGGTGATGTCTGACGCATCAACTACCTACCCTTGTCTGCCTGAAGTCTGAACCCTATGCTTAGGAGCTCTGATCATCATCATCAGTATATTGATGTTCCCACTGCTGTGAGGGAATTAAGTCTTTCCCTATGGATGGAATACGTTAATTCTCAGTTAGATCCATCCATCCAGTCCATGCTGGATCTAGTGAGAACTTGTTTTCTCTATAGATCCTGACTTCAAGCTATGGATCTAAAGAGATTTTTAAGAAGAATGGGCTATGACCTACACAACATGAGTAATTAATTTTATCATAAGTACGTAATTATACATATAATAAAATGGTAGGAAAGTCAAAACTGTACATTGAATTTTTTTTAAAAGAATACTTGGAGTGTGATCTACATTAGATACGGAAGCCAAAAATATAGTTTTTAGATATTTTGTCTGTATGTATGTCCGGGATAAACTCAAAAAGTACTTCATGGATTTACTTAAAATTAGGCACAAATATTATTAAGAAGTCGGGTCAACATATAGGCTACTATTATATTATCACGCTATCACCGACGGGGAATTCTTAAGACTAGCGGCCGACCGTACAAAGTCGCGGTCGGTCGCTCATAGTTCGTAGATTCATACAAACATAGCATTACGCCAAATCCGTTGCGGCGGAGCATTGAAATTGACAAGAGATAGATAACAATTAAGCAGTATTTAGTTGTCTAAAAATAATTATAAGTTTCCAAATAACGTTTCGTGTGCCTGAAATGATGCTATCGAACCTGTGCAATTAATTAGATTTACGTTGATCATAAACTTGTTATATAATAACATGGTCATTGCCTTTACTATTTGTCTAAAAATAATTATAAGTTTCCAAATAACGTTTCGTGTGCCTGAAATGACGCTATCGAACCTGTGCAATTAATTAGATTTACGTTGATCATAAACTTGTTATATAATAACATGGTCATTGCCTTTACTATCACGCCGCCATTGCCAGTACAACTACGGTTTATATTCAATTTTATAGAATCAGATGATTGTGTATTACCCTAAGCATGAGCCATGAACTAATATCGAATTCGATCTTGATACGCGTCATGTCAAAAAGTTTTGTATTAAAGATTTTTAATTCTCGTTGTGGCGCTGTTCAACTTTATATACAAAACTTCTTGGCACTTGATGCGTATCGAGATCGAATTTAACTATTCGGATACGATATTGGTTCCTTCGTGCTAAGGGTAATATTTAAACCCTAAAACATTTTTTTAAAGTAAGCCGATGTTATATCGTTTTCGAAAGTAAGAATAGCTCCCTCTCCAGTGTTGCTTCACGAACTTTAATTTTGTAAATTATTTTTAGGGTATAACGTGTACTGAATAAAAACCTCCAAATAAAAGAAAAATGTTAGTACTTAGAAGGTGCATGGGCATTTTTTTTTTGTTATCAAGGGTGGGGTAATTGCGTTAGTCGGTGGCCTTCTCTCTAAAAACCCCACGGCGCACCCTCAGTTGGGAGTGGTAGCTGAGTAACCTTCTACATTTTACTGGGTCAGATAGAACGCAGATTAAGCCGCAGAATCTAATAAAGGAGATGACGCGATGATCTTCCACGCTTTCCTTGAAATAGCATACTAACGTTAAACATGTTTGATTATTCATTAGGACAGATATACTCGTAATATTAATGAACAGGAATGTATTACGGAATGAAACTTATTACGGAAAAGGGAAAAATATTTAGTAAACTCTGTAACTTTAGGTTGAATGCTACGTGTCTTCAATTCCTGGGAGAATTTATGATATTTAATTGTTGTTCTGTTACACGTTGTTTTATCTGTGGGAATTTACTGTAACACAAATTATTTTCCGTAGGTGAATGTTATGTTATTCGTAAAAGATAGCATGACCTTTCAGAGAAGGAAAACATTATGTTTTGTAACGAAAGTAAGCATACGCATCTGGTCAAACTACTTTTTTAAAGTCCGGAGATTTCGGATCCGTTGATTTTTAATCTCAAATAACTCCTCATTTTATTATGAGCAGCCGCCCGTGACTTAGAATTTTAGTTTTTTGAGAATCCGTCAGGAACCTTAAATTTTTTCGGGATAAAAAGTAATAATAAACTATATGTGTGCCAAAATTCATCTACATCTGTTTAGCCGTTTTTGCGTGTTTGAGTAACAAACATACAAACTTTCACATTTATAACATCCTATGAATCGTACTTGTACGATGAGTAGGATTGAAAAATGCCATTAAAAACCATAACGCGTTCTATTTCTTAATGATTGTGTTCCAAATTTCGCACAACAAAAATGCTTCTTTCATTGTAGTTTTGAGGCTTCTATCGATTTTATCATGCATTCCTCGAACCGAATATTGCTTTTTCAAAGAATGAATCATTTTGAAAGATGTGATTTATAGCGCGTTCGCTGAAATATTTACACGGGACAAAAGCACCCTGTACTATCGGTGTGAGGCTTCTTTGATAAACAGTCGGACGTATTGCTGGATTTTTTAAAGGGGTTTTAATTATTTGAACGATACTGAAGATATATATTATAGGTAGTGAAATTATACTTTGCATTAAAAAAAACAAATTGAGGTTGATCGATAACCTACTTGAGTACATCCATAAGGAAGGCCTGTGCCTCCCTAGTACTTGGGGCATTAATAGGCTGATGATGATGATAATTGTCACTTTTTATCTATTTCACGTATTTATCTAAGATCTCATCCACATTACACAGAGCAACATGGCCATGTTAATTAATTTTGTACGGCACTTTATGTATAATTTTATTACATTTATACATGCCCTGTTCATTATGTCCGAAACTCATATATAATATAATGTAATGTCCTTTTATCTATTTCACGTATTTATCTAAGATCTCATCCACATTACACAGAGCAACATGGCCATGTTGCTCTAGTCTAGGACATTATATTATATTTATTGAGTTTTGGACATAATTAACAGGGCATGTTTATCTTATAAAATTATACATAAATAAGTCCCGTAAGAAATAATTTACAGTCATCAGAGGTCGTATTATGAACTCTAAACGCTGGGCAAGTTCCGTTGCTAGAGCGAGACATCACATACAACAGAGCTATATTTCACTTCCACAGCTTTTTTGCCTGGTGTTAGTATTCATAATACGGCCCAGAATACCAAACAAGCAGGCCACCACCAATCGAAGTCGAGATCTATATGTCACAATATTTTGAACGCGTTATAAAGCACAGACAGATGCATATTTGAATTGAATAACCAAGATTCTGACCCTATATCGGGAGCTCTGAAGAACGACGTAAACATAAAAAAGAAACATACGCGCTATATAAACCAGTTCAAAAGTGATTTTAATTAAATGAGTAGGTAGTAGGTACCCGGTCCACAACAAATCCCCCACATCAAGCGAGACGACGGATATAAGTACATAAACGTTTCATTCATAGTTCAGTTAACAGAACTGACCTTCGACTTGTGACTTCTTCTTGCACGTGGGATATGTGCCACAATTGGATGTTTGACCGAACGAGCATTGGTCTTCGGCTAGCACGCAAACTTCACTGTTGAGACAACCGATGTCTTTACACGAACGACCATATTCTGAAAAGAAGCAAAAGAAATTTTTTATCACCCCTGACTTCGTCTGTGTAAAAAGGAATATTTAACGTTTAAATAAAAAGTATCATTTGCCCTCGAAGTCTAATTTATCTTTATAGGTAAAAGAAATCTTCAAAATTGGCACAGCCCGCGGTTTAGGTGTGAAAGCGTAACAGACAGATATAAAATTACTTTCACGTTTTTAATATTACTAGTTAAGGATATTAGTAAGATAGCTCTCGTGTGTGTTAATCTTTTTTTCGACAAATGAGTGTGAACTTGTATTCGTTTCAACATTTATGACATCCTAATATGTATATGTAATACTATTACCGAGTTTCAGGCACAGATTTACTTTCAATAGGAAGGAGAAGAGACACACATTAATCCATAGTCATTTACATGGAGCCGCAAGGTTATAAAAGCTAAGCTCTGATATCAGAATACAGAACAAAACAGTTTGTTCTGTATTCTGAGGTTCTGATTCAAAACCTTGCTTTCAGAAACATGTCTTTTCAATATCCCTACTTTATAAAACCTTCGAATTACATTAAAAGAATCTACCGTAGTAAATATAAGAAAACATAACACATTTTTTTTATAATAAATTCATCATGATCTATTTCTGTAATAATAACACTTGGCAGAAATAAATAAATAATTGAGTCACCCCACGTGACCTCATGTCCAATATAGTACCTAATACCTGTACAGCCTTACTAATAAAAAAAGTCTAAACAGTTGTTTAACTAATGAATAGTTATCCAATGAATAAACACTGTGTAAAGTTATACACGCGTTATACATTCATCTACCAATAAACATTGTACTACCTGCGAATAGTTAGAAATTTGTCAATAGCAATATTTGTACGTTACTTTCAAAACCATAGTGTCACTATTAGTAAATGACATTTAATTAAGAAATAACATTCTCAATGCAAATAATTGGTTTTATTTATGTTTTTGACTATTGTGGCTATAATTTAATGTAATAGATAGCATAAACTAAGTTGAATAATATTGCTTTTTACTCAAACTTATAGGAAACTTCTGAACGAAAGTCATACATGTGAATGATTATGTGTAGTGATGTAATGAATGTAATTTTTTGAACATTACGCCAATGCGAATGCGGATGCGACATAAAACCGAGTTTTCCGATTTTTTAAGTTTCGTCGAAGAAGATGATTAATATATCATAAAAATATAAGTTAAAAGTGATAAAAATTTCTTACAACAGTTGGTTTTTGTTTGTTTAAATTGCATTATTTATTTTGTTTTTAAGTTAAATTTTATTGTTAAGCTCCATTGCCCAAAGTAAAGAAAATAAATAAATAATGCCAAATGCTAAAGTCAAGACTAATCATGTGATAACGAGGTTAAGTTAATTTTTCTTGCATTAAAAACATAAGAAATGAATGGATTCTGATTTTATGAACATACTATTATCTTAAAATTGTTTTTTTCTAATATTCATATTCGCAAAACATTCGCAGAGATTTCGCGAATGCGAATATGCAAAAATATGAGAATATCCGCCAATGCGAATGCGAATATTCGTTACATCACTAATTATGTGCTGAGCTCTTTCATTCATAAGAAATGATTGGTGTTTACCTTCCGTGTTGTGTTGTATTTTGTTTGCATTCTGATTGTGCCTTATTATAATTAAATTTTTATCTAAATAAAACACTGGAAAATGAAATTTCTATCCAAGGAAAAAGGAAGAGAAGTGCTATATGGGATGATACTGAAAATTTAATTAAACTAAAAAAGGGAAAAGTTTACACAGATTTAAGTTCATGTTTATTTATATATAAATTATTTATATTCCAGAATTTACTATGGGAGCGTTTAATATATGCGCTGCACATTATTTTAAGTGTAGTGTGTAGTGTAGTGTGTGATACAAATACAAATAAATCAAAATCTTTGACATGGCAGAAACTTATAAAACGGTTTCGAGCAAATCACCTTGGAAGCTATGATTAATTTATGAACAGTACTAAAGTTAATGCAAGCTGAGAATAACCTGAAGATAAAACAGATAGCTGAGGTTTACAACTGGGCACAGGAAGAGTATAAATAGGAACGTGATTAAAAAAATATTTGTTACCAAAACAGTACAATAAATTATGAAAAGTAATTAAAATATATTTCAATGAACAACCTTCTAGCTACTTGTCCACGCAATTTTATTCTGGCTGTGGTCGCCCACCCCTAAGTCTTGCTTAATATCGTTTTTAGGGTTCCGTACCTCAAAAGGAAAAAACGGAACCGTTATAGGATCACTTTGTTGTCCGTCCGTCCGTCTGTCAAGACCGTTATTCTCAGGAACGCGTGGAGGTATCAAACTGAAATTCATATCTAATACTCAGGTCTACTGTCAATTGTAGCTGTGAAAAAATCAAATTTCTAAGCCAAAGTAATTAAGCCTTCTATGCAAAAGATACAGCCGTTTTGGTACGAAGTAACGTCATAAAGTACAGATAAAGGTAAAATTGCGAAAACCGTAAGTTTTTAGTTACATCATATAGTAAAAACATTTTTATTTAATAATTATTAAAATATACCTACAGGTTTGTACGGAGCCCTCGGAGGCGCGAGTCCGACTCGCACTTGACCGGTTTTTTTACTACGTCAATTTTTCGTAAATAATCTTTTAAGAATACTATATCTGTATTTAAAATCATTTTCATTTAAGAGAAAGGGATCAATACAACTTCTATATAGTTTTCGTTTTCTCGTGACTTGAGTTCCCACTTATATATATCTAAAAGATATTTTTTTGCTGATATACCTGAAATAATGAATGACACATTTACTACGAACAGTAGGTCTTCACTTAATAAAATTTGTCACATAGCAAAAAAATCTAATAAAGTTATACATAATCTTGTTTTAGATTACCTATATTCGAATAGACAAAACGCAAAGAAAATAAAATCCAGTAGTACCTAAAATATATGAATCGGGGTGCGTTTTGAAGAGGCTGATTGAATAAAGATGTTCATCTATCAACCGTGATTTGTATGATCCCGAGTCCCAGTTTCGAACCTAGCTGATATATCATTCTCGGGTACCTATTACCCACAGACACATACCGAACGTTACTAAGGTTTTCACATATTAATAGTATAGCAAGTGGACTAAAAGGCAAAACTATGTGTCTTAATTTATGTTACAGGGTAGTTAGTAGTCTTATAGATTGACAAAAATATTTCTTAAGAGTGTGAGAACATTTCTTTGTAGGATGATTCCGAGAAGTAACAAATTGTGATGTTCAAGTTCTTAATTAAGACCTCTATCAATATTTATGTATAAACTGTACTTGTATTCGAAATACAATTCTTATTACTCTGATTTACTCGACGAAAAATATTATTTATCATTCCCAGGAACTACATCCACTTAATAATAATACATTATTTTTTTCTGCAGAAAAGAAAGATGATCTAACAACCGTTATAGTTTTCATAACATAAGTAAGGATTTAGGTTTTATGAATCGACAACAGCAAAACTATGGTATTGCTTATACAATTTTGACCAACAACGTACTTACTAATAAAAACATAGGTTTTGGAGGTCACTGATTTTGCAACAAAACCTGCCAAACAAGTTAGCGGTTTCGTTGTTCGTATCCTTTAGCAAAACATTTGGAAGTATACAATAAAAATGCCTAATGCTAATATAATTACATTGCGCCTAACGCTAGTGTAAGTAATGAAACTCGTGGTTGCTCAATATATAAAATGATCCGAAGATGTAAATCTAACTGACAAATGGATGAAACAAGTTGGGTTTCATGCTAAAGAGCTCTAGTTTCAAATGTTGCATAATTACTCATAATGTAATTGGGCAATTCCGGAAACTTAAAATGCACCATTTATACATAAAACATTATTTTGCGCTCTTCTCAAGTTTGAATCAAGGAACTAAGATTCCATACTACTTTGATGCATTCACGTTAAAACAGATCAAGAGAAACCCTTTAAAGACAGTCAGGAAGTGAGTGACGAAATTAATAAATTTAATGGTTGAAATAGGCAAGTTACTAACGTAGATAAATCGATAATATCATAATAGATATAGTGCTAAATAACATTTAGATTATGTGTTAAATAAAGGACAAGCTTTTATTATCTCGTATCTTTTCGCTTCAGTATCCGAGCCGTTGTTCTTACTCATAAGTTTACGTTTCACGTCACATCGTCAAGTAAAATGTGTTTAATGATGTGTAACATAAACATAAGACAACATTTTAGAAGTACAAAGTGAAATGACAACCTGCCTAAAATGTATTTTCATTATTTTCCAAGTTAACGAGCCGTAGTTAGATACATTTTAAAGTAGGTATGTTCTAATTAATTTATCATTTGTTATGGCTCATTGAATTTTAGTTTCCATAACGATTTAATATTAAGTGAAAGAATACAGACTTTCCTGAAGAAGTTTGCCACATACACTTAACCCATTAAAAAGTTTTTGGAGCGAGTTAAAAACCTTTCATGTTACAGTAATAAAATTTGTTCCGGGATTGCGAACATCATAAAAGGCAAATTCACGCTGAAAACGTTTTAAGCTGAGAGTATGGTGACGCGAAAATTTCAGCGATGTTACAAGCACGCCTAGAAAGTGCGACTAGAAGGGCAATAAAAACAAATAAAAAAACATCATAAGGTCGGATCATAATTCATTGTTTTGTTATTTTCGAGACGAGCGTGCAGCTCGTTTTATGGGTGCATTAGGTAATGGATTTGAGCCATATCTTACAACAATCTCGGGTAGACGGTACGTGTCTTGAGACATTCGAGGCTGTCTAAAGAGGAAGACCCTAACAGTAAAGCGGGTAGCCAATATCGCAGGGTCTTTTAAATCTGGTCATCGCATAAACTTCAATGGAAATGGCGGTAAAGCAGAATAAAACAGATCACATGCAGTACACCACTGAACTTTTCAGGGGATGGAGAGCCAGGGATACAAATGATAGATATAAATAAAGTTTAAAAGCTTACTTGAAAATCCATCAGCGTAGAGTACCAAGGAGAACGCGACGAGTGCACTTCTCCAATCCATGATCGATTCTAGAACAAATAAATTGACAGTTAATATATTTTTTTAAAGAAATTTTATAATTTAAAGTAAGTTAAGAGTGGTTGGAAGCGCACTTCCTGCGGAAGTAAACTAATTCCAGTTTCAGTAAGAAGGTATTATGTAACACACACACGCGCCCTAATTGAATTATTAACGAACGAATTGTTAGCGCCTTTCGATTTGTTATATGTATAAGAGATTGGACTAATTTAATTAGAGCAACTTCTTAGTAGATAATGAGATTTTGTGTGATTGAGGGCGACAGTTAAGTTGTCAGACAAAGTGATTTAATTGTTTTAATGACTACGCAAACGCATACTGAGAATCCTGCTTTTATTATGATGCCCAAGGATTTACCGTTTGCTTCAGACAAAGATGTTTAAACCCCCTAAAATACTTTAATAAATTTCATTTGTACAATACTTATAAGTATTGACGTCTTACGGTTTTTGCTGCATGATTCCGGCTTCATAATAAGAATTTGTGGAATCAAATAAATACCTTAACTTCCTAGTGCAACTCTGCAATGAGACTGAGAAAACTTAAGACGAAAATCTGAAATATAGCGCGCACTAAACGACATATAAACAACAAACAATATGTCATCTGTACGTAACAATTACATCAGCAACACTTAGTCGTAACAACGTGGAAAGAGTAACAAAGTTGGTGCGAGATGGAACAGTCCGACACGTGTATTTCACAGCACACGTTGGGACAGCTCAGCTGAAACTTTATGACGTGCTGCTACATTCCCGGAGCAATTTACCCAAACTGTTTCGTATAACCTCGTTAGCAAGTATGCTGGGTAAGTAAGCGTTTTGGGGATACGAGTCACTCTTTATTGAAACCTGACGGACGTAGTTTACTCGAATATGCAATGTGCAACATATTTGTCTGATGAAAATGTTGCTTAGAGACGTCTCGACAAAGCATTATTACGTACAATAATTGTATAGCACAAGCTTTAGAATCAGTATAGTATGATTGTCATCTAAACTGTCTTCATAAAATTCTTTATGCTGTCCAAAAAACAAACAAACACTTATTTATAGATGGATAATGGATAAAGCAAAGCATGTTACAAAAAAAATTAGCACTCAGGCTTATATTGTCTGACACTAGAGAAACTACGCTATCAGTAATTTAAGTTAAAGTTGACCAAATTTTTTTATACGAACAGTACCTAAAGCGATTTGCTAAAATTTTAAAAAAACCAAAGACCACAAGTAAGTTGTCACAGTTTTCACTAATTAATAATGGTGAAATCACTAGTCCGAATCACCGCTAAGCATGGAAACACCACGCGGAATGAACTCAGCCCGTCCCATAGACATGGTGGGGTGGTGGTTTGACGGGGGCGCCTAATGCCGGAGGTCAATCAAGGACAAGGGGTAGGGGGTCGGTCAGTCACGCAGAGGCTTAACTGAATAGATATTAACTACTGCTTGAATTACTAAAACAATATCCTGCGATATCATCAGGCGTGGCGATGGCTCAGTTAGTGAAAAAGTTTCAATTTCTTCTTCTGTCAATAAAACTGTCTACAAAAATGCACAAAAGCATCACGTCTATTTGTAAATTATCTCTGAAACGTCTTAAGCATGCTTGTGAGGCGATGAACATAAAAGATTATAAACAATTTTAAAGACTGCCATCTAATAGGATTATGCATAGGACAAATTTTTCAGGTACCTTAACAAGATTAGAATTAACGGCAAACCGCTGATTAAAAAGGACGCCGGTGGAGAAATTAAAAGGATCCCTTGGTGGCTATTACATGCCATAGAGCAGAAATTGGATAGCGATACGGGAGATATATTGCTCGGCATAAAGCCGAGCTCTGTAACTTTCTACCATTCCGAGCATCCCACTTGTGAATCGTATTTCGGGATCGCTTTTTATCTTTTTTTTTTTGCGGGATGCGGCGGAATTCCAAGTGACAGCGGCACGGAACACTTCGCAGCTCATATATCACTTGCCCGTAACGTGTTAACGGCCAGCTGTCACCTCCGTTCTTCATTCGTCAACTCTATTGTTTGTCTTAATGCTTTCATATTGTTTAATGTTATCTTGCTAGGATATCAATCTAGTAATAAAAGCAGACATTGTTTTACCCTACCCGTCACTAAGGAATAGGGAAGAATTTTCAAAATCAGTTTAGTTGTTTTTGAGTTTATTCGTTACACACATACAAATCTTTGCTCTGGCCTGGGCCTGTTAAAAAATCAAACTTCTAAGCCAACGCAATACAGATACAGCCGTTTATGCCGCAAATTTTCAAAATTCGCAAGGGAATCAAAACCTACCTACTTCCGGTCTTATAGCACAGATAAAGGAAAAATTGCGAAAACAGTAACTTTTTAATTACATCACACAAAAAAAAAAAATTTTTTTTTAAATAATTATTATATACCTACAGGTTTGTACGAAACCCTTGGTGCGCGTGTCCGACTCGCACTAAGCCGGTTTTTTTTTGTGTTACGAATACAAAAGTATGGTTTTACGAAACCACGATGCAAATGAAACTTTTTACATCTCCTCTAAAAATATTTGGATCGTAGTCATGCAAAAGAATTTTTTTTTGGAAAATTATTCTAAGTTGGTCTTACTTGTTATAAGCCGGATAAAAAGTGGAAAATAAAAAAGTACTTCTTTGGTTCGGAATCGAACCCAGGCAGCCCGCGTGGCAGGAGAGCTTTCTACCATTGAACCACGATGCTTGTTGTAATGCGAACTGCTTCAGATGATCGAAAAACATTGTGGCGATGTTCTTAAAGTTTAGTTTAAATATGTTATTTTTAAATCCGATAATAAAATTGGATCTGATCTTGAAATAGGAAGGCGGATTTATTGTTCCACATGAGTACAAAAAAATAACGGGTTGCACTCCGGGAGTGACAGCATAAGTGAAAACTTGAATATTAACGTTGTGCATTTATGATATTTTTTTTTACGAATTGCTTTAATTATCAGTATAAAAGTATTAATTAGTCATTTATGTGGTAGAATACAATATTTATTTATTGCGGTATCGTACACAAACATGACAATTTATATTACATTAAAAAGTTTATCTCTCAGAAAAATCAACTTACATTACAATCACATTTGCGCACCTAGCGACATGTAATGTTAAAAAAATGCATTTTCTTCGCAATTAAGCTGCCACCTGAACGTCCTAATTAGAGACTTATTATTATAATACGATAAAATAAAATATTACTATGTTTCGTCCAATATTTTGAAAGTCAACAACCTTTCCAATTTTATTGTTTTCGTCTTACGAATTTTCGATCAGGCCACGTGTCTTGACGCGAGTTTAACATTTTGTACCCATTATAAAAAAAAGTGTTCAATGCCGCTAAAGAATTTTTCACTTCAAAAGAAATCTCCAACTTTATACTAAATTCCATAAAACCCCAGTACCCTCGTGTTACATATGAGCTTAGCTAAGAACGAAAATCTGAGAGCCCACATGATTCCACAGGAGCATTTTATCTAGCAACGACGGCGTGAAGTGTGAACACATCGGAGATTTCCGCCGATATAAATCCCGGTGTGCGACATCCTCGCTTTACACCCGTCGCATCCCCTGCAATCCGTGAATTTGTGGACTGGAAGCCGCCAACGACGCATCGCACTCGGAATTCGAACGCGCCAAACCCCGCGACCGACTATATTCTCGGATCGTCACGTACTCTGTTCGCGTTCTATACTGTATTGCCGCATTTGTCATCCTTTGTAGGTGTCAATTTGGTGTCTGAATAGCAAATTTCGTATCTGGCAAGATGAGACTGTTACTGGGGACGCAAATTGGTCGTTAGGTCGTCATTATTATATTGACAAGACACCATAGCTCACCAGATAATACGTTATTATGGAATACCTTTTAGCGTTGCTTGCTATCGTCTTTTGAATTTTCACGAACAATTGATGTCTCCATTCTATAACTCATTCATTTGACAATTATCACGTGTGACACACATGTTGTAATGGAAGATTCACGCGAAATATAAACAATAAGTAAACAAAACTCACCAAAAGTTAAAATAGATATTTGCAGTACTAGTATAAACTACGCATGTAAACAACTGACGCCATGTTAACCAAACTTCTGTTATTAAATTAACTGAACGCTTCGCAGTCTTGACTGATAACGTCGGGTAAATTTGCAAATGAGATCATTCTCTGTAGTCACTCAATATATATAACGTCACGTAATTTCTTATTATAGTACGTGCGAATAAAATTTATCAGAATTACTTAATAATTATCTTAATGGAATTCGGATACAGAGTCGAATAATAAAATATCCTTCTCCGACCATGAAAACCATTTTAGCAGAGGGGCTTCTCGTAACTTTATGAATTTCAATAAGTCGAACTTACTTAGCGTTTAGTTTCTTAGATTAAGATATTCACGAGGAGTTAATTTATGAAATCCTTTGTTATGATAATGTTTTTTTTTTAATTCAGTCAAATGTGTATCTTTTTTAAAAATAACATGTATAAGGATTTCTGTGGCTGTAATGCGGTCATGTTTTGTAGGCAGCAATTTATTTACAACAATTTTCTGTAGTTGGTTAGGTGGATTGAATCTTTGCAAATACATATTTATTTACTAGTTTAATTTATAGCATTTTCGTGAACTTTCGACCATTTGTTACGTGGCGTATTGTAGTTACGCCTATTGCTTACAATCGAGGCGGTTATTGTCCAACTTTGGGCTTTTGTAAATGAATGATTACTAAAGGGACAAAGCGGAATTCCGAATAAATATCATCATTGTATGAGGTCATTGTTAAAACTTTTTTACTTATGAAATTGCACTGACGAATCCAGGTTTAGCGATTTTATTTCCGTCGCCGTTGACGTAAATTCCATAAAATAAATACAGGGCGTCGAATTGGGTTCAAGGTGATCCATTTTTGTTATAACTGGTGAATGGTGAAGTTTATGTTATATCATGAATAAAATGTATTACCGCT